CAAGACATTTTTTGTTCAATTATAAGATAATTTTAGTTTGGGGCATTTCTGGTTTTGGGTCTGTTCGGGTCAATTTTGGGTATCGGGTCTATTCAGGTTAAACACTTTTGGTCAATTTCGGGTAGTGTCAACTTCGGGTCGAGTCAGTTCGGGTGTTGGGTCAAGATCGGGTCAACTTCATTTTCGGGTCGGATATGGGTCGGGTCGGGTCAATTTCGAGTTTCGAGTTATTTTCGAGTCAATGTTATTGGGTCAATTTCGGGTCATGGGTCGGGTCAACGAGTTTGGATCAGGTTGCCAGGTCTAGTATGGTGGTGATGCTAGAGGTACGGCTGGCCAGAGGTTAGTAAGGTGTTTGCGTGAGGAGTTGGGAGCAGGGGAGTATTGGTGAGTGGTTAGTGTGGTGTAGGTTAATAAATTGGTGTGGTGATGGATAAAGTGGGCCCCAGTTAACATCAAAATTGATAGAAACCGTTATCTGATAGTAAAATATATAGTTAGGGAATTTGGGTGGTAATAAAGTAAAATAAAAAATTAAACGGGTAGCAAATATGACACAAGGTGCTTTCGTTTGTAGCAAATGTCAAATTTTCCTTAATTTTAAGGATTTTTTGTAAATTACCACCCTAAAATGTACCATGTATTGAAATAACCCCCCATTTTTTTTGAAATTAAAAATAACCACCCATATTTTACAAAAAATATAGGTTTTACCACCTGACCTATACTTCGACCAGTTTTTCGAGCATGGGCCCCACATAACAGCTGTTTTTTTATTTTTATAAAAGTTGTTTCTCGATTATTTCCTCCCTTGTTTCACAAACTAGTCCCAAACTTAAAATTCTTCATTTTTTCCACAAATTCTACCAATTTTTACTCCAAGTTTTGCAAATTGACAAGTGAATCCTTTGAAGAACGCACTTAAATTTTTTACACCAATTTGAACAGCAAGGTAATTGAAGATCGCACTTAATTTTTATTTTTTTTTAGTTATTTTGCAATGTTTAATGAATTAGAATTCAAGTTATACGATATTTTTTGTTTGGAATGTGTTTTATTTGGAATTTAATGATGTAATCGTGGTTTGATTCATTCAATTTAACTTGAATTGAAAATTAGGGTTCTTCATAATGAAATTGTGGGGCACATGATCGAAAAACTGGCCGGAGTATAGGTAGGGGTGGTAAAACCTACAATTTTATAAAATAAGGGTGGTTATTTTTAATTTCAACAAAAAATAGGTGGTTATTTCAATACATGTTAAATTTTTGGGTGGTAATTTACAAAACAAATCCTAATTTTTATACAATTGTTTATCTCTATAAAAAAGTTGCATCTCCAAAATCGTACCAAAAGTATGGGATATGTCGTGCAAAATCAATAAAGATTCTATAGACATGTGAATCCATTAGTAATAATTAATTCATCTACCAATTATAATCAAGAAAAAATTTGTACAACTGTCTATTGACTAAGTAACTAACTCAAAATTGTTGGTGTTAATTAGGCATAATCATGATTCCTTGAACCTTGTGAATCAAGATACTTTGGAATCTTCAGGCCACCAAAAAATAAAATTCATGAGATTCTGATTTGATTATTTTATTTCATCATTATTTTGAGAAGACCAACAATTTTATAATTTCTTTTTTTTCATTGCCTTCGCTCTACACCTCAACAAGTGTAACACTTTTAATATATCTCCAAGTCTCCAACTAATGACACCTTACATTTATCATGAACTATAACAAATCTTTCCAATGTAGATCACATTTAAGGTAGCCAATTAAGTTGGGACATGAACTGTCAAGATATAATACTTTAATTAGGATAATTATGCACCTAAAGTATGGCTAACAAGACATTACAAAGTCTAATCTCTGTATTGTACTTCCAATTTGGATAATTTATTTGTTTCATCTTAATCTAACTTATGTTGATTTATTTTCAAGCAAATAGGTTCCCATAAACTTTAAATTAAACAAGTTCATGAAAAAATGAGTGTTCTATAAGGAACAAAATTATGACAATATCATGCGAAATAATCATTTTTTATGACAAATAAGTTCTTTATGGTTCAAGTAAATATAGCTTCAGCCTTTCGGGCAATCAATCAAATAAGTTGAACCCAATAGACCTTAATTAGTAGGGACACTATACCAACATATGGTAATATGTAGAATTTATATCACAAGACTAAGCTAAGGTTACTTTTTCCAAGTGACCCCTTACATTTAAAGCTAAGGCATAACTTTAAATGTCTCACAATAATTTATTATGATATACCTTTTGCCTTAATAAAGGCCGTAATCAAATATGTTTAGGATGGTCGTGGTGGTTGCAGCGTGTATAAACTATCTTTGGGATGACAAAACTGTCTACTCTAGACCCCCTCCTATAGCCTGGGAATTTGTTTGCAAAAGCAAGAAGCAAGAAGCAAGATGGCTTAAAGTATCCTTCAAATTGCAGCTAGAATTGGAAGCAAATTTGGTGGGTAAAGGATAAGCTGAAGATGGTTACAGAAGGAGCTCTTGCCTGCAGATCCTAAAGGTTGTTCGAGTATAATTGGTTAACTCAGGACTCTAATGAGGTTGATTGGTGTAGCTGAGTTTAAAATAGATTCAATGTGCCCTAGCATAGATTCAATGATACCTAGTAAATCTTATGATTGAGAAATTTGGTAGTTAAGTTTTAAATTAACTAGTGTGTGGTCTTAGTAATGCCCCGAATTGCTAATTTAAAATCACAATTAGTCAATGAGTAATTCAAAAGGTTTTAACTTGCATAATTCATTCCATTTTGATTTGTGTTTAGTATTAACCTTTTGGGGTAGTTTATATTTGGAGAACAATATCCATGTTTTGTATGTTATCATCTATATATGTATTCAAAAATTTATATGAAATTGTTGTCCATAAACATAATACGAGAGGTTGTTATATAAACCCGAGTGTATCGTACACCCGTGTATATTTGTTCTCATTTTGATAATTATTTTTCATTTTATTAACAAATGAAGAGCAAAAAATTAATCTAAGATTAGTTGCGTGTACTGTACACCTGAGTATATATAACAAATTCTACATAATACGGAGTACACGGTAGTTTATGACATAATCAAAACAAAGATACTCCCTCCGTGTTTTTTAAGTGACACAATTTGACCGACACGTAGTTTTAGGAGATTTTATTGACTTTAATAAAATAAGATGTTAGTGGGGCAGGTTGGAGGAGTGAGAAATGATAAAGTAAAAGAATGTGAGAGGAAGTGGGGACCATAAAAGGAGTGAGAAATGATAAAGTAAGAGATAGTGAGGTGAATATATATTATTAAAATGTAAGGAATTTTTAAAAGAGGAAGTGTGTCACTTAAAAAAAAACGGCCGTTTAAGAAAGTGAAGTGTGCCACTTAAAAAAAACACCAAATTTGTTTCTATCAATAAGTTGACATTTGTATAAGTAACTTCATCAAAATTTAGCAATGTAGTGAAGTCATTAATTACCTATAGTGTGGAACTTATCAATTAATAAAGAATTCAAATTAAAAAAGATAAACACTCACCCGCCAACATAAATATATCAGTAGTCATGAAATCACAATTAATAAGGTTGCTTAAATGGTTAGAATTCTTATATAATTATTGATGATACTAAAATCAAACTAAAACACATTTTATTGCTGTAGTATTACATGATCATGATTGTGGTTCAGATGAGTTTAATTCAGTTCAAGTTAGTTTTTCGTTTCATTTTAGTCTAATATAGCTCAAAAGAATGTGACCTTAACTTACTATAGTAAAACTTCATAATTTTATTTTTATTCGTGTATTTTCACTAAAAAGCGTGATTTTGTATAACTAGTCTATTAAATGAAAAGGTCCCATATAACAGACTAATGTCTTTGCTATAGCAAGGACAAAATTGATAATTAAAATCAACAATGATGCACAAAAAAGTTATCTTAATGCATAACTTGTTGATGGCACAAATTAAAATGAGATCCTAGACCAACTTCCTATTGGAGGAGGATTAAGGATCTTTATCAGCCCATCATAATGGATCAGCCCAACAAGACTAAGAGTAAGACTACGGTTTAGGTGGGGGATCTAGTTCCCCAACCTACCACAGCTTCTGCGGTTGTAAATATGCAATGCACTACTCTTTTGGATTTTCTTATCACACCATTTGTTTATTTTTCTTCTTCACAAATAGACTCCGTTTTTAAATGCTTGCTCCACTTTCCTTTTCCGGTCGTTTTTAAATATTTGCTCCATTTCCTTATTTGGAAAACTTTTACAATATTTAATTAATTTCTCCCAACAAGTGGACTAACAATATTAATTACATATTCTCTCTCTTTCAATTTTCTCTGGTACTTTTCGTTTTTTATAATTTTTTATTCTTCCACCAACCCCATTACCTCCATATTTTATTACTTTCTTCAATTTCTCCTAAAACTCTGCGCATGAAAAAATGAAACAAGTATTTAAAAACGAAGGGAGTAATAGTCATCTATATTATTTTAAAATGTTGTGATATTAGTTGTCAGTAGAATTATATGTAAAATAATTGTCCCTATTTATCTAAAATTTATTATATTTTAAGGATGCCTAGTAAATCATGGTGCAAGATTAATCATACAAATTGAACCAATACGACTATTAATCAAGTAAATTCAAAGGAAGCAAGGTATCCATTCCTTTAAAAAACTTCATAACTATGTTTCAAAAAAAAAAAAAAAAAAAAGCTTCATAAAAATATAAAATAAAAAAATCTCCAATTTTCTCGGCCTATAATAACTTAGGTGGCAATGGGGGGCCATGAAGGAAATCAAGAGCAAAACAATGGCAATATCGTCTATTATCCAACACAAGATGTTAGATGCCACATGTTGAATCCTAGTTGGATAATGAGATATTGAGACAAGCAAAAATGAAAGCCACCTCAGAAGCAATATCCACCTGAAAATTTCATAAAATCTCACCCAATTTTACTTGTCTTTCTATCTCCACCACTTATTATTTGTTTGCCACTCTTATTTTCCACTCTTTTGTGACTTGATTTTGAACCACATCTCTATAATCTCAAACTGAATAGAGTGAGTTTTACTCTATTCAGTACAAACTTATCTAATAATATTATCACTAGAACAATAGTTTGATCATATTTGAGGTTAAAATATGGCAACACAAGCTTTGGTGTCATCTTCCTTGACTTCATCAGTGGAAACCGCAAGACAGATTCTAGGTGCTAGGTCTGGTGTTGCTCCTTCTTCTTCAAGGAGGGCTTCTTTCGTTGTCAGAGCAGCCTCTACTCCACCCGTTAAGGTGTGTTACAACTTTAGAAATTAGGGCTTGTTTGGTATTACTGTCGGTTTCAAATTTTAAACGTACGTAGAAGTATGTTGAATGATAAACGATTGGTAGAATTTGAATTTAGCTTATATCAGATATAGCATTGATCATTTTTGCCATCTTCTAGTAGAATTTAAGTATAAAGCTTTTTGGGCAATTGGTGTATGATGAGTTGATCATTCTTATACTTGCTTAACTAGGGTTGTTCTTGATAGAACTTTATAGGAAGTTATAATTTCATCATCTTAATGGACTTATTATACTATTTAACTTACAATGGACATGCTAAGAGTTTGTCCTATATAAATAACTTTATACTACCTCCGATTTTTTTTAGTTGCAACTTTGGGGTATTGTTGGTGAGATATATAAAAAATTCCAAAGGTGCAACTAATAAAAATCGAAGCTAATAATTTATTTTAAGAGTAAATGATTTATGAGTATTTTTCTTATTTTTTTTTTTAAAAAAAAAGAAAAAAAAAAGACACATACACACTAGATTAAATTATGATTAAACAAAATACTCTCAGGCAGCACATACTACTTGGAAACATGTTCATCTTGGAAAACACATCCAAACTTCAAATTATGTAGGAATAATTTTAACACCATAAAATGAAAAGTCAAATCATCAAATTATCTTCATAATATTTCCCTTTTTTTCCTAAAAAAAACAAAGAATTGATAATAATATTATGATGGGTAGCTGACCATTTTGATCTGATCTTTTCCACTTTGGAATTTGTTGACAGCAAAATGCAAACAGACCCCTTTGGTTTGCATCCAAGCAGAGCCTTGCTTACTTGGATGGCAGGTAAATTATGTTTTATTTATAATGAATGATGCTTTGCATGATTATTTTGTCTCCTAATAATTTTTATTGTTCACGTAATATATATCTATCTTAACATGGTATTGCTTTCAAAACATGCAGTCTTCCAGGAGACTACGGGTTCGACCCACTAGGTCTCTCAGACCCAGAAGGAACCGGTGGCTTCATCGAGCCCAAGTGGTTAGCCTATGGTGAGATCATCAATGGCCGTTATGCAATGCTTGGAGCAGTGGGTGCTATTGCCCCAGAAATCCTCGGAAAAGCCGGTTTGATCCCTGAAGAGACTGCCCTCCCATGGTTCAAAACCGGGGTGATCCCACCAGCAGGCACCTACGACTACTGGGCTGACCCATTCACATTGTTTGTCTTTGAGATGGCACTTATGGGCTTTGCCGAGCACAGGAGATTGCAAGACTGGTACAACCCAGGGTCCATGGGCAAGCAATACTTTTTGGGTCTAGAGAAGGGCTTTGCTGGGTCTGGTGAGCCAGCATACCCCGGCGGACCTATCTTCAACCCATTGGGCTTCGGCAAGGACGAGAAATCTTTGAAGGATCTTAAGCTCAAGGAGGTGAAGAATGGAAGGTTGGCTATGTTGGCTATCTTGGGTTACTTTGTACAGGGTTTAGTTACTGGTGTTGGTCCATACCAAAACCTTCTTGACCACTTGGCCGACCCAGTCAACAACAACATCTTGACTAGTCTCAAGTTCCACTAAGAAATTCTCTCTCCTCCTCTTATGTTCTCAGGGTTACTTCTGGTTTTGTACTATATTGCTTCTTCCACTCCTATGTGCAAATATTATGTGAATTAAAGACTATAATCTACAGACTAAGGAGTAAGGATTAAAGTTATTATCAGTGATAGTTATTCAATCTAATAGATATGCTTTGCTGTGTACGTAATTGATATTATCATACTAAACTTAGTCATCTACATAACTTCTCCCACTGAAAGCGCTGAGTGGGAGAAGGCTGAGGAGGAACTTTTAGTAAGAATCAACCCCCAGCCCGAGTTAGAGCAATAGCAGGCTAACCCCCTTCACCTAAAGTGTTGTATAGGCAGTAATTCGGTTGGATGTAGGGAGTAAGACTTTTCACGAGTCTTTTAACTCCCAAGGAGTTGCAAACCATAATAAAAGCCATGAACGGTTTGATTGAACATATAGGTAAGTAACTTCCACCATTAGATATAAGACATTTCCACTTCCTATAAACTTTTAACTTCGTGTTTAAAATGCATGTTAACCAAATAACTAGGAATAGTAACTAAAAACTAGGTATATCAAGATAACTAGAAGCAAAGCAGAGATCAACAATCTTCTAAGTTCTGTTGCTTCAAAAATGTAGCATTCCAAGTGGCCATGGACTGATAAACAAGGCCACAATGTCAAATCAGTATATGTATGTCTAATAGTTTTAACCCGCAAGGGATATTTTTATTCGACTGTGGGTACACGACTAGCCCTAGCTCAGCAGAATATATGCTTGATAATTAGATACAAAAATATCCAAAAATTCTACATGTTGCGTTTACCTATGAACTCTTGAGCATTGGTATGTCCAATACCATAAAAAGAAAATGAAAATGACATTCCCATAAGCAAATCCTAAGCAGTCTGAGCCACCTGCTCTGATTCACTTGCATCTGAACTGCATTAATGATATACATGACCAAATTGTCAGGGGTTATCATAGGAATGAGCTCAATCAAGCAGAACATTTCTTTAACACATGCACAGGATGAGAGAGAATTTTGTGTAAAGGGGACAGGTAAATAAGCATAGATGATTCATTGACATAATATTATGCCATTGATCAGATCCATTTAAAAACTCGATACAATGGGTCCAATGTTGTTATGCATCTTCATTATCTCCTCTAGGATTTCCATATACAATGAACCCAATAATTGACATATTCTTTGACTTTAAATCATTCAAATTTGAGATATTTATCTGAAAACAAATAGTGCTATAAACACCATGCATCAAATTTTGAAAACATAATCCACATAACTTTACAATGTAAAAACAGCCCTATTAGACATTTTAAACAGCAATCCTAACTTTAAGCAAAAAAATAGCTTAAGTTCACCCTCATCTAACAGTTTTGCCGACCAAAGGCAAATAGTGATGGTTACTCTTTGTGAACACTTGAATTATATAATGATTAATGGAAGAAATGTAATCATTTTTTGTTGGAGATTTAATGTTGCTTTAACAAAATATTATAAAGGTGGTTGCTTGCAATTTTCTTACAAAGTAGTTTTTCTGAAAAAGTGATATATATACTACCTTTTGAAAATAAAATAAGTCAATCAGCGGATTGTGAAATCTGACTGATCTTCTCTATCATATGAAAGGGGAGAGTAATAGCACAATCTGAAGGTTCTATAAGTTCAACAATTTTTCTATAGGCCTTAGGGGACTATAGCCTTGTTTGGTAAAGTTTTAAAATTGTTTTTAGCTTATTGAGGCTTTTTAGTGGTTTGACCAAATGAAAAAGATAATTTGAGTGTTTGGCAAATAGTTTATTGGGCTCTAAAAGCTCGTTTTGAAAAAAGCTCAAAAAAAAAGGAGCTTTCTAAAGTTAGCTTATTGAAGAATTGGCATTTTAGTTATTACATGCACTAGAACATGTATTTACCAAACACCTTTACACAACCATCCGGCTAGTCTAACAAGTTAATGTAACCGACTAGTCAAACCAGTTAATATAATCAGTTGTATTAATTAGCTACCAACTAATTACCAAACAGGGCCTATGACCATTCAAATAATCCATTTTGTTAGTATCTTAAGATTATCTTCAGCTTAGTCATTTAGATCCTGCTCCCTTCACATCCTTTAGCTGAATTGCTCTTGATCACATTTCACTTAAGACACATAGTGTACAAAATAAAGGCATGTAAAGAAAATTGTGGAGTAAGTCCAAAGGCTATATAATTGAAATCCAATGCCATTTTAATCATAGAACTCATTCACAGTATTTATAGCACCACCCATCAAAATAGTTTTACTTTCATCACTTATAAATTTACCTTGTCAACGTAGGTCCAAAGAGTAAGCCAATGAAAGGAAGACTCTGTCGAAAACAAGTCAGCCCCTCCTATAGCACCATCTTTCTACAGAGTCTTTCTTTCATCTTGTATAAATTTCCCTGTACAAGGTAGGTCCAAAGAGTAAGCCGATGAAAGGAAGACACCGTCTGAAGGTGGTGCCACAAGACTGTGAATGAAAAAGCCCCCCCCCCCTATTTTCCAGTTCACAGTATCTAAAGCACCTTACGACAAAGACTTCCTTTCATTGTTGAGTGGCCCCTTAAGGATGCGTGATACATGGAATATTTGTCCACTTTATGTGGTTCTTTCAACTAGATTTTGCAGTATTTTTCCCCATTTTTATTCCTTTCTAACTCCTTTCGTACATAATTGTAGTCATTTTGGCCTTGTCGTCCCTCTTGGTGTGTTTGTTCATCCTTGTAGGTACAATGGGAGAATTGAGGCTTGAGCATGGCAAAAATGAGTAAAGGAAGCCACCATCCCTCTTGGAGTGTGCGCGCACACCCATTCAGATCACCCAAGGAGCGGACATGCATACAAGCCAAAAGTGGGAGCTACTGCTGTGAAACCCGATTTTTGGGCGGATTTTACTATGTAACTCTTTAGGCCTATGGGTATAAATACCTCCCTTGGATTATTTTGTACGAGTTTTTTTTCTTTTTATTAGGCCCTTATCTCTTAGTTAGTGCTTAGAGCTCTCATTAATTAGTTTAGGTTCTCTCAAACTCAATCACTATAGTAGATTAATTGAAGTTCGTTCTCTTACTTTCATCAATTTCTCCAACTTTGAAGCTCCACTAGTAATCTCTTTCCTCTATCTCTTTTTATCTTCTGTTTTTACTTGCTTTGAATTGTTAATTTCTCTTTAATCTTGTTCAATTCTTATTGCATGCTCAACCTACCTTCTTCTTATCACCTTTCTCAAATTGTTAAATTAATACTAGAATTACAACTTGAAGCTATATTGTTCTTCACCATGATGTGTGAGTAGTCTCTTAGCTAGGGGTTGAGTGAAAACCTAACCAAGCCATGGGTTAAATAATTTTGGATGCTTGCATGTTTATTTGGGTGGTTGATTGATAGTTCAAGAGTTGATTATATGCATGTATAATTTGAAGACCACTTATTGCTCGTGTTTCACTTCTTATGTTTGCATTGAAAGATGAAGTTATGTTGTGAGTCTTCTCTTGTGAGATTAGCTAAATTTCCATCTTGATTAAGGTTTTTTGTTTAGATGATGTGGTTGCTTTAGTTTTGATAATTAGGTGAGAAATCCCAATTATTTGTGGATACGACCCTTTACTTGCCCTAGACTTGTCTTAGGTTGGTTAGGGTAGAAATATTGTTTGGCCTTAGGGTGTTTGATCAACGACCAAATATCCCTCTGCCAATGTGAGATGCCAAAAATAGGATGGGTTATTAGACTCTCTTCAAAAGATTTGAACCTTAGATGCCCTATCCATGGCAGTGCCTAACCCACTTTAGTAAGGACATATTATATACCACATCATAGCAATCTAAGGTTTAGCACGGTACTATTATAGTGAGCATAGCACAATTCTTCTTAATGGAAGGTTGGTTTGCCTAGGTATAAAGAGCCATACAAAGAAAAGAGCCATACAAAGAAAAGAGCCATATGTGCAGACAATAATCAGATTTGTACCAATAGCATCCCTTTTACAAGTACGGGAGTCATCACAAAAGCCACTGCACCATCCACACCCTCTATTCATTCACAATATTTACAGCACCACCTTTCACCTCCCCCCCCCCCCCCCCCCCCCCCGCCCCAAAAAAAAAAAAAAAAAAAAAAATCGCAATATTTACAACACCACATTTCAACAGTTTTCCCTTCACCAGCTTACTCTTTAGAGTTTAGACCTACCTTGAGAAGGGAAACCTATATCGAATTTGGCCCAAATTAAGAATATGACATCATTATCTCCACATCTCATTAAACACCATCCACACCCTCTATTCATTCACAATATTTACAGCACCACCTTTCACCCCCCCCCCCAAAAAAAAAAAAAAAAAAAAAAATCGCAATATTTACAACACCACATTTCAACAGTTTTCCCTTCACCAGCTTACTCTTTAGAGTTTAGACCTACCTTGAGAAGGGAAACCTATATCGAATTTGGCCCAAATTAAGAATATGACATCATTATCTCCACATCTCATTAAAATCTTACAAAAAAAAAAAAAAAAACTACTTTTAAACCACAAGTCTACACGTTTCCTACAATTATGCACACAATACCTTATCTTATTCTGATGTAACTCCTATATTCATATAATTTAATTACCTAAACAAGATTATTTCGGTGAGAAGTCATTCCATTATGCTGCAGCTTGGGTTATACTGATCTAGAAAATACCTTGAGTCCTCAAGAATAACATTTTTTGAAAAAAAGGTTAAGGTAGAAGCTATGGCACAAGACAATCTGGAAGCATTATCCCACATTTTTAAAGTGGATTTTATAAAGTATGGAAAGAGAGACATTTTTAAGATGTACTATAGAGTAGCTCTGATGGAGTGACAGTGATAATTGTCTTATGATTTTGCAATCAATCCATCATGCCAGGCGGTGTCCAACATTGACAGAATGCTCCAGTCAAATAGGGTTTTTCCACTCAGGAAAAAGGATGAAGTTTTAAGTGGAACTACAAGGATTGTTCAAACCTTTTTCATGCAATAAATTCAAAAGATAGGATAGGAAATAGGGTTTGGTCTTTCTCCAACTCATAAAATAATTTAACTGAAGAAGCATTAATCAAGTAATCACATCCATGATAACGCCTATATATTATTCATACTTTTTCTTAAGGGAACAGGATTTCAAAGCACAAGGCTTACACCAAGCATGTAATGTATTCCTTTTCTAATTTCGCCATTGTTGGGAACTATGGGAAGGGGTACATTACTAGGGATCTAATCCCCTGTCCCAAAAAGATTGTACCGCGTAATATTTCTACTAATTTTGACCATTACATACAATCATTTAATACTGCCTCCATATACAACAATAACAAAATGAATTATGGATACATTGTTTACTATGATGTCTCCTATATTAATTTTCATGCCACCCAATAATCATTTATATTTGTGACACATTAAATTTTAATCGTTACTATTACTACACCATTGAATTCTTTTTTATTGCCATGTTTCACTTTTTGCAAGGTTCCCACATTCAAATGTTACTATCTTTATACAAGTATTATAAAAAATACAAATATTTGATATTTGAAAGTTACACCTTGAGACAAATCAAACAAGCTCTCACATGACTATGTTCCTTAATGAATTTTTCAAGCAAGCATTAGATTTCTTGGGACATCCAAAATAAAGTATATATATTTTAAGGGGAAGTAACACAAGAAAAGTTAGTTTAGATTCAACATTTTGGCAAATCCTAGCAAACCACCCAAAGAATAACAAGCCATACTCCTTTAGTTTAGACATGTAACAACATACTATCCTACATCAGCAATTTTACTTTCATACAGGCACAACGCCTTGAATAAAGATGACAAAGAATGAGTAAATGTACATCAGATTATCAGAGTAGAAAAACTTCAGGAATGGAATGGTTCTGACTTCTTACCTCTCAATTCCTTCTCCTACTGCCAACCTAAAAAAGCTTTCAATCTTTACAGGGGACCCAACTTCCTTGCTCAGATTATCCAAAACAGTCTGCAAAAAATGCAAAATGATAAACATCACAATCCTATTAATTCCATGCAAAAGCAAATAATGCATTTCTGGGCTACAGTTAGTAAGAAAGTCCAATCAGTAGGGCAAAGAACAAAAACCCAAATCCAAGTACTTCTACAAGATTAACTAACCTTCACATTGACTGTATCATCAAGAACATACTTTTGCTCCAATAGAACCACTTCCTCTAAGTATTTCCTTATTCGTCCTTCTACCATCTTCTCAATGGCCATCTTAGGCTTCCCAGATGCTTCTGCCTGTGTTAACAGAAAGCAATCTCATAGATTAACAAACATTAGGTGGAATACTTGTCACAATTAATCCATATGCAAAATTTAGCTTGAAAAGAAGAAGCAACATAAACACAATGGATATAAAGAACAAAGATAGCTTTGCAGAGTAGCCAGTAAAGGGTAAGTAGTATAAGAAAAACACAGGCAAAGGGTTTAGAGGAAAGCACACAATGGGTAATTGCAGTAACGCAATAACATTCTCTTCATGAGAAGCATCTATCCTAAAGATAATCACTAAAAGAGGAAAAATGGACTGATGTCTACAAGCTTTCTTTCCATTTTTGTGATTAATTAAAAATAGAGGAAATACTTCATCAAGATAAGCATCAAACATGAATTGAATCTCCATTTTGTAACTCCTTCTGACCTATCCATAGTTGGATTGATTGACAATGCCGACATAATCTAATTGCATTTGAACCAAGCAAAATACGGAAATGCCAGTAAAGAGAACCAATAGCTTCTCAACGTCCTAATATAAGTAGACGGGACAACAAAGACAACCCTAGTTTATTACAGATTAAACAAGATCATGTGATAATAAACGACCATATGCTCAGCAAAGCAAACCAATACAATACCTGAGATCTGAGAATTTCACGTTCATTATCTAAGGCATCAGAGGAAACAAGTTCCTTTGAGAGAAATAAGGGTTTGGAAGCTACTACATGCATAGCTAACTCCGATCCAACACGTTGTAGGGCAGCCAAGTCAACATTTGGGTTCTCCACTTGTAAAGATAAAATTGCAGCCATACGACCCACGCCTGAATGAAGACGTCGGAATAGCTTAGTTATTATCTGGTTATTAGTCCAAAGTATTCTTCTAGCAAAACAATCCTACTGCATAGCACTGATGAGTCATGACTATTTTCTAAGGCATATCACAACTAAAAAATAATCAATCTTTTGTATCAATTGCAAGATTTCATCAGAAATTTTCTGTCCAACTATTATACAGGTTTCTTTGAGCAGTAAATCAGAACTGAATCACATTACCTGATTGGGGACTTGAATGAAGGTATGTAGAAATGACACCAGGTGAAGTTTTTGACAATGCAAAGCCCCTCCTTAGTTTGACATTTTCCCCCATCATAGCTGCCAGCTCAACAACTGCCTCTTGCACACTCTTCTCTCCGCTTAGTTTTGGATGGGTTAGATTCAGCTTCAAGCTCTGGATCATTTACATGTTACAATGAATCGCCATATATCGACAAGAACGAATAACTGGAGAGCAGATCAATAGGATGGAGCAAATTTCAGACCTCTAAATATTCAAGTGTCACTGGAAAGGCTTCAGCTACTTGCTGAGAAGAACCCTCGGCTGACAATGCCAACTTTGCTAGAGATAAAGCCTGAGAGATTGGTAAACAAATGAAACCAAGTTATAAGATGAATATATCAAATAAAACAATACAAGAAAGGAGGAAAACAAGACACGAGCATGCATCCAAAGCAAATTTTTTTCAAGAATTATATGAAATTTTTTCTTCATCACTTCCAAAGTATCAATCCCCTTAGACATCACTGACTCACTGTTCTATCACAAACTGAGATTTTCAATATTTCTTATAGATTAGCATAACAAATGCAAGATCAGCATAATTAAGGTTTTCCAAATATTGATACAATTACAAACACTATGAACACCAAGGGAACAGTGAAAGCTGAAAGGATCTCACACTGACCATGTACTGAAATATATCATTCCTTGCAACAAAATCAGTCTCACAATTCAGCTCAATAATAGCAGTTTTTGTGTCATCCTGAGCAAGGGCAAGCAAACCTTCGGTGGCTGCTCGGGACGACTTCTTTGAAGCCAGGTAAACTCCTCGTTTCCTCAGCTCCTTCTGAGCAGCATCTGCAGGAAAACAATCACATTATAAATTCAAACATCGAAAAAACTTCTAAACAGCGCCTCAAAAACATCAGCCTAATATCAAAAGTAGTTCTTTTCCTTACCAATGTCCCAATTACAATCAACTAGAGCAGATTTAACATCTTTAATAGGAGCACTTGTTCTTTCTCTGAGCTGCTTAATAAGACCCATCTGATCAGATGATGATGCAGCAGAATATCTCCTCAAAAACAGCCCAGAAAACCCCATATTAAACTGAACATCATCAACAATTGTGCCAGAACAATTTCTTTTGACAGCAATGGTCGAAAACCCATGATGCCCAGATCGCATTTTGCTGCAAATAATCCCAATTGAGCGCCTTGCACCCCCATAAAAAGCCATCTGAATCAAATTTTCAACTGGGTTTTTAGTGTAATTGCCCAGATTACATAGAAAACAGTAGGGTTTTCAGTATAATTGGTTAATTTAACACAAGAATAAGTAGGGTTTAAGGAAATGTAACAGGGGTTTTAGAACAAAATTATAGAAAAACACAATCTTTAACAAAAAAAAAAAAGAAAAAAATGATAGAAGTTGGGAACAAGAATAAAAGGGAAGAAACATGAAAAATATGAAATTAGATTATTGATTATTCAGGAATCAGAAATCTTACCTTGCAGGGCAATAGCAGAAGAAGAAAAGAGGTTGGGAAGACGACACAAGAAGTGGGGATCGTCGGAGAAAGGGAGTTAGTGGTGGTTGTGATGGCTGTGGAGTGACTGAAGCAGCACACTTTTGCGGAGGGCGACGGCTGTGCTGGTGGACTGGTGGAGAGAGAGAAGAGAAGTTGTTTGTGGGTTGAAAGTGTGTAAGACTTTGCAAGGCTTTGCGCTAGATGGGTTGCCGGTCCGAGCCTGTGTCTTGTTTGGGTCTGTTGGGTATTCAAGATTAAGCGATTATTGGCCCGAGTAATACACCGACTTGTTGCATATTTGTATGAGTAATTGCAATCTAATGGTCGGGAAATGCAGTGAAGTGTGATCCAAATCCTAGGTGAAAGATATGATGCAAAATTGGTCTAACTATATATTGTTAAATTACAGCAGCGTGCTGCATATTTGGCCTGGTGTGTTTGGGGTGAGAGAAACAAGAAGTCTTCGAGGCTAAATGGACTCCAAATGGAATTATGTTGGCTCCTGTTGGCAGACTTGTGGAAGAGTTCGGGCTGTATGGAAAGAAAATGTACTCCTCGAATGTGCCTAGACCGTAAAGAAGCAGCAAATGTTGGCAACCTCCCCCACCTGGTGTGATTAAGGTAAATGTCGATGCATCTCTTGCCACAGAGGGATGGGTGGGAATGGGAGTTGTTTCTAGGGACAGTGAGGGGAAGGTATTATTTGCTACTTCTAGAAGAGTTCGTGCCTGGGGCCTCCGGATATAGCTGAAGGGAAAGCCTTGTGCGTGGCAGTCAGACTAGCCAAGGTGTATCGTCTCAAAGATGTGTCATTGTGGAATTTGATTGCCAAGTTCTTGTGAACCGCCTAGGGGTGATAATGAGATTGAGCTATTCGTGAATTATTCGAGCTCGATTTGGTCAAAGCTCGATTCGTGGTGGCTCGACTCGGGTTTGAGTTCGGCTCGAGACCTTAATGAGCCAGGCTGAGTTATGCCAAGCTCGGCTCGAAAAGTTCGTGAACAAGCTCGTTTATTTTTTCCATATAAAAAAATCATGTATATAAATACAAATTTTTTTATCAATCGATATTACACAACAATAAGTTAGTATTTTCATTATTAAAACAATAAACTCGTTATAAAGTAAAAAATTTAATAATGAACAATAAAGAAGACAAGTAAATTAGGGATAAGAATAAATCAAGGTTGTTCGTGAACAGTTCGAATTCGGCTCGGTCAACGTTTAGTCAAAGCTCGGCTCGGTCGAAGCTTGACTCATAAAGGTTCGAATTCGGTTCGAGTTCGAACAAATTTAAACGATCACGAGCCGAGCTGACCATAGTTCGGGCTCGGCTCGGTCGATTAGCACCCCTAGAACCGCCTATCAATTGCTGCTGTATTTCTCTCGGATCTTGATAGTGTTTTAGAAGATGTTTTAGCTTTAAGTTTATGTTTTAATTCGATAGCTTGGAACCATGTTAAAAGAGATGGCAATGTCGTTGCTCATCAGTTAGCTAAGGGTTCGTTTGACATCGCTGTGGTTTTCTGTTTTTTGGTTTTTTGTTTTGTAAAAGTATATTATATATGTCACATAATGAATCAAAAATTATTTAGACTTATTAAAATCATGATAATTTTGAAAACTTACAACAGAAAAGTGGAAACACCTTTTTCCTGTTTCCTGTTTTTGGTTTTTAGTTTTCAAAAAAACAGGAAACTGAAAACCAAAAATAATGCCATACAAGCCCTAAGCTTTTTCCTAACGATGTAGAACAAGTTTGGGTGAATCATTGTCCCCCGAGTATTTCACCTTATGTACTCTCGGACACTTTGTCCATTAATTAATTCACCGTATACTTTTCTTCAAATAAAAAAAAAATGTACAATAATGATGTATTAAGTGAGGTGCCAAATTTTTACAGGGTAAAGTCGTTGACAACTACAGTAGTTAGGTGTTGCATAAAAATTATATAATTCTTGTACTGACATAAGCATGGATATTTTCAACTCATAAAAAAAATAAAATTAAAAATTAAAAAAATTAAATTAAAAAAAATTAAATTAAAAATAATCTAGATTCTAATAATAATTAGAAATAAAAATAAAACCGTTTCTCCGGCAACGGCGCCAAATTTTGACAGGGTAAAGTCGTATCCCCAAATCAAAAGTAATACCTAAATCCTCTAACTAATGTAGATAGGGAAGTAGGGTCGAATCCACAGAGAAACAGATCTTTCTATTCCTAATTAACTACTATAATCTAGATTATGAGGTAACCAATATTTATATTTGAATAATAAACTAAACTACAGAGATCAAGAATAAGGAGAAAATAATATATAAAAGGATCTAGGGCATAGGTTCACCAATAAATAATATTCCAGGGTAGAATATAATAATCATTCATCAATGCAAATATTAATCAGATTATAAAGGGCTTTCGCTACGTATTATAATCACACAATTAATTTACCGGTATTAAATCTCATCTTTCGAATCTCGACCTAACCATTTATAAATTAACCTGCCTATTGAAACTAGACCTAAACATCAATTCTCATCTGTCGAATCTCGAATCAATATTTCCAAACTCATGCATAAAAGATCTGCGCAAATCTAGTCACAGAGCATTAAATCAATCAATAGGAAATTAATCTAACATTGACAATTAACAATAATAAATTACCCCTTCATATTATTTATGGATCCCCATAAACCCTAGAAATAAAACTACTCACACATAATTAAAACTAAACTAATCAAGACAATTAGAGGAGACATGATCAAAGAAAGAGAATAAATTACTGAAATTAAACCAAGAGTTATATAGAGAGAAAATAATACTAAGAGTTTAAGAGGAGAGAGAAAAGAGTTAGAGAGAGAAAGTCTCAGAAAAATTAAGAAAGAGTAAAAATAAGGTAAAGAAAGTACTAAATTCGTTTTACGGAGAAGTATTTATATTCCATAAGAATCCTAAACTAAAACAAACTTAAACGACGCTAATCGTCTCCTAACAATAACACGCGCCCGATCGGGCGAGGCACCGCCCGATCGGGCACGCCTTCGGGCGCCATCCTTTGCTTCCCTCGCCCGGCCGGGCGCGCCTCCGGGCGCCAGCCTCTTTGGCCGGGCGCCGACCTGTGCTTCTCCCTCCCGGCTGGGCGCGCCTCCGGGCGCCAGCCTTTTTGGTCGGGCGGCTCTCTTGGGCCACAATTTGAACTACGATTGGGCTCCAATTCTTCGGGTCAATATGGGGTTCTTCTTCGGGTCTTGAATACTCGGTCCAAATGCCCCGGTATCACACATACCAAGCCCTTAATCACTGGTTCGATGGCTCTAACCGGCCCTACACTATAAAATCTGGTCGTGCTTCTCCAATGTTCGTGATTGCTCCAAAATATCTCGGGAAAATACTCCAAAAGTATAAATCCCTGCAAAAGTTAACCAAATATACAAAAACACTAGAAAACACCAATTGATAATAAAAGTGGCTCTAAAGAGCCAAAAACACTACTAATTATGACCAAGGGACGGGGGTAAAATACTATAAAAATAGACACATCATTAACACTCACTAATTAGTTATGTTGAATTCTCAAGTAATATGGTATAGAACATTGGCACATAGATTCAACCTTCATGTTGTGCTTTTCTATATGTTTTTGTTCACAACTGATATGTCTATTTTATATGGTGTTTTACCCCCGTCCCTTGGTCATAATTGGTAGTGTTTTTGGCTCGTTAGAGCCACTTTTATTACTAATTGGTGTTTTCTAGTGTTTTCGTAGTTTTGGTTGAGTTTTGTAAGGAATTGCACTTTTGGAGCATTTTCCCGAGTTTTCATGGAGCAACTACGGACATTGGAGGAGCACGACCGCTTTTTGTAGCCCAAGGCCGGTTAGAGTCATCGAGCCAGTGATTAAGGGCTTGACATGTGAAATACGAGCATTAGACCGAGTGGTTAAAGCCCCTAAGCGGATATCCGGATTGGGCTAAGTAATAATTAATTAAGGCCCAAACGAAGTTCAAGCTCCAAGGTGAAGCCGGGCCCGATCAGGCAAGCACTAGGCACGATCGGGCGGATGCCCCCAGAACAAGAGGGCGAAGAAAAAGGCGGGCCTAATCGGGCGCGTGTTTCTGGGGAGGCATCTTTGGCGATTCCTTAGTTTCTAATTAGGAGTAAATTTGGATTATTGTATAAGTACGATTTTAATGCTTTTGCTTAGCACCTCTTCTTTTAGACTTTCTCTCTCTACTTAGTTTATTTCTCTCTCTCTCTACAAACTCCATACTTTGTTCTTATTCAACTCCTTATTTACGATAACTTTGGTAACATTTTCTTCTTTATTAATTTCCGTATTTCTATTTCTTTATTTCATTCATGTCTCCTTTAATTGCTTTATTTAGTTTAGATTCAATTATGTGTGAGTAGTTTAATTCTAGGGGTCTGGGGAATCCGTAATTAATATGAAGGGCTAATTTATTACCATTGATTATTGACATTGCATGATAATTTTTTATTGAATTGTTTTAATTCTTTATAATTAGATTATGAATCGAGCATATGTGATTTGATTGTAAAAGTATAGCAGTATTGAATTGATGAATCGAGCAGATGTTAATTTGATATTAAAGGCTATTTTCAATAGGAACTAAGACTTAGTAAATTGCGAGAGCCTATTAGGTCTTTGTTGATTAATAAATTACGAGAGCCTGTTAATCATGTTATATGTGCAATGTTAATTATTGGTTGATTTGTTATCCCGGATTATTAATTATTGGTGAACATGTGACCCTAGGCTTCCTTATTATTGAATTTCTCCTTAAACTTGATCTCCGTAGTTTAGTTCCTTTTTACAACAACAAATTGGTTACTTGATAATTTAGATTACTCTTGATTAATTAGGAATAAATTAACTCGTTTCCCTGTGTTTCGACCCTTCTTCCTTATCTACATAGTTCGTGGATTTAGGTATTATTTTTGATTGGGTGATTACGACTTTAGCTTGTCAACAACAAAGGGCACGCTATTCAATTTAGACAAAGACCTCATCACAAATTACGTAGTATTAAGGGTTGTTCTCTTCAGCTTAATTTCATTTCATTTCAGTTCCTAACTTCCTTCTCTATATACCGCGATTTCTTGTCCACTTGATAATTTTCCCTAGTTTTATCCTCTGTAAGTCACCCTTATGCACCTTGGATCAGCCATCCCTTTGTGTAGGTGGTTGTAGGTAGTTGTTGATGAAGGTTGATTTTTTTTTTTTTTAAATTTTAATTTTTTTTTTCAAAATTTGATTTTTAAAATTTTTAGAGAGTTAGAGAAATAAAATGAGAATGAAGAGTGAAAATGTGAGTCGTTGAGTGAAAATTTCGTATTTATGAGCTAGGGTATGGTATTTTCTTAAAAAAAATGCGAGCGTTCCCTTGTAAAAAGAGAGCGACGTTTAACAACACCCACAATGAACAATAGTATTTTGTTATTAAAG